TAAAGGATGGAAATCGTAAGTAGGTAGCTTCTTCAAATTAGAATTGAAACTAAAGACACAGTTTTAGAAATCCTTGCAATATAGATCACTGGAACGAGTTACATATATATTAAAAGAAAAAAAAACTAAGTAGAATCAGATGATATGATCCAAAGAAGTATTTTAGTATTATTTTTGATAAAACAGGTATATACAGAACGAAGAAATTATAATAGGATTCGGCATCGTTTAAACTTCTCAAATTTTGTAGATTTCTGATAGCACATTAGCCATTTTCAAAGTTTTCTTTCACTCTATATCTCAAATGTAGCTGATTCTAAGATAGGTGAACGATAATAAAATAAGAAAATATTTTATTGGATTTGTAGATTACGGTCTTATCTGTGTTTTATTATGTTCTCCACTTAATAAATATAAAAATTAAATACATTGTGATCAATCATCCCAGGATTGAACCAAACACACAGACTGGATTTAAAACCTGTTTGGCAATATTAACTTTCTTGTGTACTTACTGATAGTTTCTATATTTAGGCTCAACTCCACCCTTTTTTTTTCTAACATGCTCTTTGTTATACTTTGCATCAAGAGTTAATATCTGTGTTCTCAAAAAGCACGATATTACCGTTTATTCTGATAGACACGGCATTGTACTGCCGTGTTAATTCAAATGGCCGTATCTGTTAAGTACCTACTGAACCTGAGAAAAATCGATTTTCCAAAAATGTGATTCATTTATTTAATGGATTGTATTAAAATGGTATTTGTTTTTATGTTGCAAAATGTAGTGCAACACAAAGTAGAAAAAAATCGTACGTTTGAGAAGGACTACCTTGTAATTCGTACAAATTATGAATATGGTGAGACAAAATCTATACTGTATGATGTGCAACTTCGTAAATTAAACAACACTAGGTTTATTATTAACACAATGGCTATAGCAGTTATAAAAAGATAAAAACTAAACAAACAAGTAACAAAAATAAAAAATAATTCAAAATTGGCATGTCGGATTACAGAGGATACCAGATTAGACAAAGGCCATATTACTGAGGGTCTACTGTACTTTGTTTTATTGCTTATAGTCAATAAATTACCTTAAAATAGACATTACCTGGATTAAAAATTTAAAAAATTGCCGTTTTACAGATAAAAAAATTATATTAATAATAATTTAAGTTATAATATATTCATTTTTACCAGGGACTCCCAAAAACTTTCCAGTTTCTGTTTTTCCTGAAGAATGGTCCGAAAAAAATTCGTCAACTGTAAAAATAAAAATTAGCATAACTTTTTATTGACAGAACAATATTATCCATATATGATTTGCGAATTAACTGATTTATTTTCTAGATTAAAAGCCACCACCAAATTAGAAATATTATTAGTATTTTTAATTAATATTTGATTATTTTATAAGAAAGAACAGTAATGATATCATAATAATTAAAAAACATTATAATTTTATTTTACCAAGTATTCTTTTAAATTTAGATTTATTAAATTTTAACTAAATATAAAAATAGAAGAAAATTAATTTCAGAGTAATGCAGCTATGAGGCTTCTATGAGCGCAAGCGCAGTAGCGACTATATGCAACCATATGCAACGATAAACGTAGGAGAGACCCAGGAGAATGGCCACTTTTCAGACAGGATGTTTCAGAATAAAGTACCATAGATCGCAGATCGTTGATCTTAACTAATTATTAAGAAAAGCGAAATACAATTTTCCTGTGAATGTCTTATTTTTTTTATTCTACAGGGAAATAACTAAATTTCATAAATACATAATTTTCTTAATATCTTCCCTTACGGTAAAGATTATAACTTTAAAATATATACATATTAGTTGCTTACCATTATTAGTTACCATACTCTATTTCGATAAATTACGATAACAAATTAGCGTAGAATCAAGGACTAAGACAAAAAATTTCATCCAAACTTTTAGATAAAAATTAAGATTAATAATTATTTTTTACGCAATTTGTTACAAAAAAAGGGACTCTTGTTTGATCTATGTAGAACATTCCATTTCCGATATTTTGCAGTTTTAGTACTACATGCATCGCATCCTAATTTGTCAGTAGTGGGGTAAAGTTTGCGCACTGCTGACACACCTTTAAACGATCTTACTGGCTACTATTAAAGCTCAGTAGCGTATACTACTTTCGCTTAAAATAAATTTTCTAGGATATTTAAAACAATCACAGATTAATCACAAAATTTTAAGAAAATTACCTAAAATTTTAATCCTTAATAACGGTCAAATCGAATCCGCTCTCGTTTCTAAGAATGTTTTATCAACAGTGGCTCTCATTTGATGGTATTATAGGAAATACCAGATTACCTACACAATGGATCAAACGCAATTATGTAAATAGGTTTTTAAGTACACCAGAATTTGTTAAAATTTATTTGTTATCTATGAGCTTGAATGTATTCTGTTAAAAAAATTTATTGGGTGAAAAAAAAATGGTGATTTTGCACTTGATATCTTTAATATTTTAACAAAATGTAAGGATGAAGTAGAAGTGGTGAAAGCCATCAGCATACAAATATTAAAATAATACAACGAGAATTTTTTTAAAATATGTTGTAGGTCAACTAATACTGAATTTATACTAACCTCTATTCCTTGATCTTATAATTTCTTTGAAACAAAATAAACATAAACAAATTACCATAGTTCTAAAAAATTGTCATCAAAATCATCACTATCACTAGAACTATTACTGCTGTCTTCATTAACATTAATAATAACTGTAGGAATTACAACGTCATCCATTATAATTTCGCGATCTAAATATTTATCTTCGACAGCTATTACATGTGCATATCTTTTTTCCAGTCTTCTTGGGTTACTGATTTAAATTCAATTTTAACTAACATTTGTACATGTGCTCATTTAAAATAAATATTCTTTATAGCTTCATTATTTTTTACTACAGCCCAGATCATTTCTATTGGATTTAAGTCTGCGTGGTATGGTGGTAATCTCAAAACTGTATGACCGTGTTCGGAGAATAATTTATCAAATTTATATTGCTTGAATATATTTTTAGGCGGTTTGATTAATGTGTACAGCTGTGGTCATAATAAGGAAGGTTGGAATTCAATATTGTTGGACGTCAATTACTTTATCATTTTAGCTTTTCTTGAATTTGAATTCGTAGCAGGATTTTCTATAACATTGTGATACAGTGCATTATCCATAACTACAATAGCATTTGGTGGTAAATTTGGTATTAACAGTTCTCTTAGCCACTTTTCATAATTTTCTTGATTCATATTATTATGATAATCACCAGATTTGGCCCCAGACATAAACATTAATAAACTGTTAGGAATAAAGCCCATGTTACCACCAGCGTAAACTATAATAAGTCTCTTTCCTTTCGAAATGGTGGAAAACAAACCTTTTGCATTATCATCACCCCAATTATGTGATGATGTATGGCTACTATGTATATAAGTTTCATCAATATATACAATGGGACGGTTTTGAGAACGAAAATATTTAATTTTTTTAATATAATCTATTCTTTTTTCCCTGATGTCAAGCCGTTCTACTAAAACCTGTCTGTTGTTTCGCGTTTTTCGCCACTTGAACCCAATTTTTTTAAAATAGTTCTTAATGATGTGTAGCTCCCTTTCCACTCAATTTCCTTTTTTAATTTTTCACTAAGAGTTTTGACTGTTACGCGCATACCTTCTGTTTTCTGTTTCGTGAAATCTATGAACTATATCTCTGATTGTTCCAATATTGTAGGATGGAATATCTGTTACACTTGATGTTCTTTTGGACTTTTAAACAATTGTTTAGGTATGGTCGACGTAGACTTTTCACCTTTTGATATCTCACCTTCTATATTTATTCATTCAATTGTTTTTACCGAGTATCCTGTAGCTTCAGCAACTTGTTCTTTAATTTTAGTGAGAGTTTTGGGATCATCGTTCACAACACATTGTCTATAAGTTTCACTATCATCGTTGTTTTTTTTAACTATTTGTTGCCGAGGAACATTTTTTTTTCATAAAATATTCAAATAGATGAAATATTATTTCCTTTGCTTGATTGACTACCTAAATGTTTCGGCATTTTAACACAAGTAAGTCACTACTCAAAACAAAACACTACAAACAAATAAAAATAAAATAAAACTCAAAATCTGCACGCTACACAAACACAAATTCAAGAAAATATTATCATCTACTGATCACCCCCGACAACACGGCTAATATTTGCATCTCTCTTACAGTAGGCGTTGACAATTGAAATTCTAGATTAACGCGCATCCCCTCTTCAGACAAATTAGGTTGCGATGCCTGTACTCAGACATGAAATCTATATACATCATGAAATAAAAAAAAAAAAAATACAATTTTTATTAAGGGCCTGATTTCATATAAAAAGTTTATTTAATTGATTGTTTTGCTGATAGGTGTATCATGTGACACTAAAAATGTTGACCAATATTAGTTAAATAGGAATGACATATGACAGTTGAGGGTATGAAGGAATAAAAATCTACCTTCTTCAAAGTTATTTTATTTCTTCTTCAGGCAATTCAATGTGTTTCATTTTGGTGGTGCCTCACCCTGTATATTGTAGAAAATATTATAAAAACAGCGGTGGTGCAAGACCAGTCCCTTTGTCGTGGATTATATTTCAAAATTAATCTTGTTTAGATATTTATTTGCAGCGTAACTTCATCTAGGTATAACAATAAAATTTAGTTGAAGGTTGAAATATACATTCCCTGGTTTGAAAATAGACAATATTAAATTTAAAGAACGTTGGTTAATTGTTTTTGATTTAATAACTACACAAGCATTTAATTATAATGTCGCTAGAATACTTAAATACTGAAAACAAATGTGGTTAATATAATTACTAATTATTGTAAATTATTTAATCCCGCAAGAATTACTGTCTTTTAAAATAATCAAATATTTGTTATTAGCAATTGTTAGTTTGGTTTTTCATTAATCTAACCTGTTACAGAAATATGTGAACCAATCTTTTTAGATAATATAAAGTTATCCATATCTAAGGATTCTTTTCTCTTTGGTGGAGGTCTTATACACAACAGGCAATTATTGTTATCTGAAATAAGATAAAACCAAAACATTATACAATTTTTATTAAATAGAATATACGGTTAATAGGTTCTTTCGTTTATCCCACTGGTGTAGGAATGAACTATACCAACGGCCACTATGTCTTCCATTTGGCCCGGTGTAACATCCACTAGACCTTCCTGTCGCCGATGTGGTGTCTACCGGTGGATATTTTCTCCAACAGCTATTTAGCAGGAGTTAATTACACTCGACGTGTGTATAAGGAATAAGGAGGAAGTAAACTAAGTAAATAAGGTGGTGTAATTTACACTGGTGGACACTGCAACAACAGCGAACGAAAGAACCTAATGCTTGAGCGCAGTTGTAGTTGGATTGTAGATGTGTTTGTGGGAGATCAAGGTAAATATTAATTAATGATAGGTACGTATTTTAAATTTGAGTACTCCCTGGAGCAACAAATTAGTACCTACTTCAATTTCTGGAACATTACCAAAAAAACCTAATTAGGGTATCCCAATGAAAAGTAGCCCATTTCCAGAGCTTATAACTTTTAAACAAATCGTAGAAACGTGCGGTTTTTGCTGATATGTGTTATTTTGCTATAAGTTTTGCTTCAGTAACACAGAAATTATGTATTACCTATACAGGGTGTTTTTTTAAAAATCTCCTCTTTTAAATTCACTGCAACCAAATTTTATCAAATGGAAACGGGCTACTTTTCATTGGGACACCCTGTATTATCAGACGTTTCGATCTTCTAAAAGTGCGTGAAAATGACTGTGAATAATAGATACAGATATCCAGACAGTCCTTAAAGCACTAAAAAGGGTAGAAATACAATCCACATTAATATTGGTGTGCCAACAATCTCTGCAGGCCCTGAAAATTCTCGCAGGAACATAAAGGAATGTTGGGAGATAAGAAAGTAGACCTCCTAGGCAGAATGGAAGCTGAGAAAATTCTATCTGGACCAGAACACACATGTGATATTTCATATGTTAAAGGGGTGTAAGTAGAGAAAACTGATTGGAACTTCCTGAATATATTTATAGAAGATTTATCCAAGAGCAGACAAAATCAACTGCCAAACTTTAGCAGAAAAAGATTATAGGACTCTTTAAGGGAACTGTGGCTTAAGACATTCTATATAAAAAATGTGAAGAGGAGGACAAAACTCCTATTCACATTCTGAGCTATTGCCGTAACATTAAGTGGGAAGGATATCGGTACTTTGGGGTACAAAATTTGAACCATACCTAAATTAAGATATGTAGATAGATACATAGATAAATGTGAGTATAGGGACAGCGTTTAAGAGACGAATTCTTGCTGTAACTGTGGATCGCGATAGACCAAGAGCTGATGACGAATTTAGGGAAAGTGTTTTAGGCTGCCTAAAATGATAAAAAACAGTAAGTATCTATGTTTAGGGTTTGGGACTATTTTGCTACTGCACAGCATTTGACTTTAGCAAAAAATGTTCCCAAAAAATATGTTTTAGGCAATTTGGAATTATTTTAATTTTTTATTTTAGAATCTAGAAATAAAAATGTCAGACTAATTCGACGGTTGTAAAGATATATTTAAGTCGTTACTTCAAAAACGCTTAGACATAGGTATAGGACATGATACATAAAATCTTCCTAGAATCTTGAGTAGAATCTAATAATGTAATAATATTTAAAATAAGTGACCCAATTTCTATTTCTGGTATAACCGTAAGTCTCCAATAGATATTTAGTTTAATTTTATTGACAAAAAAATAAACTGACAATAAGTTTGACAGACTTATTCCTTATTTAAAGATTTATTAAATAATAGTAAGACAGTAGTAATTTTTATTTTTCTGTCTGTATACAAAAGAAAAGTACTTTTTTTTAAGTTTTCGACGTATTTTTACGATTTGGGGTCCCCTGAATCCATTTTGACTATTTTCACGATAATTCCTGTGTGTGTTTGTGTCTGTGTGTCTATGTGTTTGTATCCACGATAACTTAACAACGGATTAATATGAAAATACAAAATTTTAAATAAGCATTTATCCATCCTCTAATGACTTGATTAGATTTTGGGCATAGTCAGAGTATTTGAGGGGATAATTATAAGGGTTAGTTTTTCTACTTAAAAAAATATATCTGTTATTTACGCTTGGAGAAGAAAATTCGTTAAATAAAAGTTGCTTGTGATGTGATTCTCTTAATTTTCCTAAAATGGACCGTATTCGAGAAATTTGAGGAAAAGTGCAACATTCGAATTTTGATGAACTGCGGCAAGCTGATTCAATGTCGGGCATAGTTGAAGCATCTAGGGGACACTTTACTGAGTGTCGTTTTTTTACTTTAAATAATACCTCTGGTATTTACGATTGGAGAAGAAAACTCTATGTTTTTTGCGACATAATTTTTGTTTTATACATGATTTCTCTAAAACAGACTGTAATGGAAAAATTTTAGGAAAAGTGAAAAATTTTAATTTTCGTATGCAATTAATATACAGGGTGTCCCGAAATTGGACAATCATATTTTAACAGCGTAATCTACATCCTAAAATAGGAGTAAAAGTTCATATATAAACATAGGTCCGAAAACGTTTCGTTTTCGAGATACAGAGTGTTACAAGTGGAGTCCTGATGGCACATTTTTGTAAATATTTTCTAAAGTTCTTTAGTCACCGGTTTTCCAAAGTTAAAAAAAAATTTTTTTGATTTCACAGGCCTACTAATTATTGTTTGCACTTTCGAATAACTGATCATGAAATTTTCAAATTCTTTTCTCTTGAAAATGATGCCTCCTAGCGAAATGCAACAAATTTATCTTTATTATAAAGAAAATATTGGTTTTCCAAATTCTGTAGTCAAAAATGTTAAAAACTGTCAACAAAAAAAACTTAGGGCAATTTTACCCCAAGACCCCCTTAATTTACCCACCTATAAAGATGATTGATAACTGGGGTTTAGTCCATTAAATAGAGCGTAAAGAGATAAGCATTTGTACCAAATTTCCCTTAGTTATCTTGAAACGTTTAGAAAATATTTACAAAAGTGTGTGATCAGGACTTCACTTTTAACACCCTGTATCTCGGAAAAGAAACTTTTTCGGACCTATGTTTATATACATTTCTATTCCTATTTTAGGATGTAGATTACGCTGTTAAAATATGACCGTCTAATTTCGGGTCACCCTGTATATTATTAAAAATATTTCGAGTAAGATATGTGTGAAAAATGTTAGTTCATTCTATGAACATATACAAGGGTTATATAATAGGTTGTACAGAATAACCGGAAAAGCCTATAATAGCTTTAGGTAAGACAGAAAAGTCATGTGTTGGAAACATCAGATTTTTAGTTCATATACTTTAAATTTACAATTGAATTAAAAACCTTAAGTTGTGTGATTAAAAAAAAAAAAGAAACAGTGATAAAGTGAATATTTTTTATGACGAAAAACTTACTAAATTCAGGAACATTTAAAAAAATGGTTATTTGATTTTTATAACCTCTAAATTAGTTTTGATTAATAAAATTTCGTTAGTGGTTCGCAAACAGACGATTAATAAATTTTCTGTAAAAATTTTAGCGTACATAAATTATATTTTGGGCGTATATTAATAAAACAAATTCAAGGCAGTCTAGTCATACTTCAGGAACTTCTTCGATTGATATCTCAGAAACTGGATGTGGGAAAAATTTTTCAGCACTTCGGTTATACCGAATGTAGACCTTAAGTCGCTTATTTTAAATATGACATCTATATATTATTACATTTTTGAATTCTACTCAAGATTCTAGGTAGATTTTATATATCATATCCTATACCTAATACCATGCGTTTTTAACAATAATACTTAAATATGTCTTAAAAATCGTCGAAACAGTCTGGCATTTTTATTTTTGGATTCTATAAATGCTAAAATAAAAAATTTAAATAATTCCAAGTTACCTAAAACATGTTTTTAGAGATTAATGTTTTGCGAATGTCATATGCTGCGCAGTAGCAAAATAACCGCAAATTCCCTGGCAGACCCTCGATTCCATATTCATTACCATAAATACTTTTGTTAAATTGTTTTTTATAATTTTAAGTTGCCTAAAACATCTTCTCCAAATTCGTCATCAGCTCTCTGACTACGTTATCCAACAATATTTTCGAGAAAAAAAATTTTAGTCGATGTCACGACTGCTAAAAAAGCGTTTTGTTAAGGTGTTGCCATTTGAAATAACTGGTAATTAATTCAAATCACGAATAATGATGACTGATGACTAAAAAAGTTATCCAAACATTTTTGGTTACTTGTCCAGTAAAGCCAGGTATCTGATGTTTTGTCAATTTTGACCAAGCCTGTATATCGTCAACATATTATCAAAACCTCCAGTCTACTTTTTGGACTTTGAAGTTTTTTTTTATTATTTCACATTCTTTTAACACTAATACATGGTCTTGCAACACCTCGCAAGTCTAGCGCGATTCAAAGCTCCACCTAGAAGTTTTCAATACCAATATGTATATCTTGAATTAACACAAGAAATATTTTTCGTTTTCCTATAACTCTCTACTCTCTACTTAGGGACCATCCATAAATTACGTCACACGTTAAGAGGGGGGAAGGGGGTCGACGAAGTGAGACATTGTGTGACAAGGGGTGGGTAGGGTCTTAAATTTTGTGACGTCACATTTGTAAAAACTTTTTAAAAATAATACGAAATTAGCATCAGCTCTAAAACTTCGAAATACCGATGGTCGGCATAGAGTAATAGAAAACCAATCCGGTATACTTGAAGTCATAAAGGATATTGCAGTTTTTGGTGACGCAGCTGATGAACGACGTCGCACTGAAACTATAAGCTGCTGCAAAACATTGGAGGATTATACTTCAGACTTCTTCCTAGACGAGTCAATACAGAGGACGGAAAGGGACACGTCATAACGGTTCCTGTTAAACTATGCAAACCAGATTCTACACTACATTTGAAACGAAGATGACACATTCTGTACTGCTACGATAAGAAACATTGAATCTTTAGCTTCAATTTTGGGCCCTGATCAAGGATTTGTTTATTAATGGATGACAAAGCACGCATGCCTTTAGATATTATAGCAGCAAATGCCTAAGCACCAATATTAACGCACCTTGATTATCGTGTAAAATTACACGATCATGATTTCGTGGTCGCGGAAAAACAAACTTATTCCTTCTGTTTATGCAGGTATTGTAATAAAGCAAGATGTTGAAGGGAAACCTGAAGCTGTGACACACTCTGAGCCTACATACGTAGCAATTCGTAGTGAAAAGCATTTTTCATCTAATGCAGAGACTCATACCACAGACATACATAGACTTTCTAAAACACCTGCTTCCAAAAACTTTAAGGAAACTCGAGAAGGTTTTGTAAAACCCGTATTTATTTTTACTTGCGATGGTGGTCCCGACGACGAAAATCCACGATACAAGCGAGTTATAGTTTCAGCTATACAACATTTTAAAATTTTTGACATAGATGCTATATACATTACCACAAATGCTCCAGGAAGAAATGCTTTCAACAGAGTGGAACGACGAATGGCGCCTCTAAGTCGCGAACTTACTGGTGTTCTATTAAAACACGAAAATTTTAGTTTATATCTCGATTCCAATACCTAATCAAACTACTGACTTGGAGTTAGAAAAACGAAACTTTGAAAGTGCAGGCATTGTGCTGTCTAATATTTGGAGCCAATTGGCCATTGATGATTTTTCTGTGGTTGCCGAATACATTGTGCCAGCAGATACTAGATCGGTTATTGAACAGGCTAAGGTATTAAAAAATGATGCGACTTGGTACAATCACAATATTTATTATACAGAGTGAAATGCGAGGTTGTCCCTTGTTATGATGTGAGACGATCTGGCCTTTGGCGACTCTTACGAGAGGGGTTTTTACCACCACCTGTTTTAGTTAGACAGACGTGAAACGGGTATGTAACTATAGAAAAATATGACTCCGAAGGTAAATTTGCTCCACTGTTACTTCAGCTATCTTTGGATCTCCGAGCATCATCACATTTCAAGCAAGTTCCGTATGATAGCTATTGTCCCAGTTTTGAGAAGTACTTGTTTAAGTGATCGTGTGGCATCTGTGGCCTATATTTTGCATCATACAAGGCCACTAACCAACACAAGCAATCACATAAGAGGCAACAAGAAGTTTTGCCCAACGCGAAGATTTATCCTGAAAGAATTGCTGCTAGACCTGCCAGAGAAATAATTCTTTGTTTGGATAACGATGATGCCATTTGGTTGGATAAAAAAGATGACAACGAATGTTCCTGGCAATAACCACCCAACCGATACCGAAGCGACTGCTATGCAAGTTATGAATAATTTAGAGGAGTGAGTTCAAGATAAATAAGTTTAAATATTTCAATGATATAAATAATCGTTTTTGGTATTGTTAATTTTTTCAAATGTTTGATTTGATGTTGATTTTATTAAAAATAATTTAAATGGAAGTAAAACTAATTTCGGAACTGCTGTTTTAATTTAATAATTTCTAGATATAAAATTGCAAAATATGTGACGTCACACTAGAAAGGGGGGAGTCTCACAAATGTGACCAGCTGTGACTAGGACGGGGGAGGGGTCAAAAAAATCATAAAATTCGTGTGACGTAATTTATGGATGGTCCCTTAGGAGTTTTTAAGTTGATGCAGATTTAAGACCTACTTCCCTTTGATGAAAGTAAAATGTTAAAAACACTTAATATAGATAATTTTCTTTAAAATGCATTTTAGGATTTATAAACAGAGCTAACTACAAATATTGACTTACTTTTTGAAGAAGAATGATTTTTCATTTCATTAAACGATCTAATAAACGGTAGTCCGTGATGTTTCCTTTGATGCTGATGTCTATGCCTCTTCAATAAAGTTTCTTTAACCTTTCCTTTCTTATCAAAAGGCAAACTGTTATTATTGATCATGTTGTCCATGACCAAATCGGTGATCTGTTCTATCGACGTAGCTTCCATATCAAGAATGACTGTACCATTTAAGAGTAGACTTCTTAATTCGAACAAGGAATGTAAGGATAATGTCGCCACATGTGGTTTCGACCATCTGTTGCCACCTTCTTCTACATCTTCTTCGAACTTTATCCATCTGGCGGTTTCTTTCCATTCCATTTCTTCGCCGTCAATGACAAGTTCATCCATCTCGGAGAAAAGAGGGTGGATTTCATGTTTTTCGTTATTTGCCTCCTCGCCTAAGATAAATTGGACCCTTTGAGATGGTGGTGTGCCTGTAAATAATTTTCTATGAATAGTAACAATAATATTTTAATTAGTTGTACGTTTATGATTGTTAGAAAAAATTATCATCGAGTGATCCATGCATGTAAAAAATTCCCATGCCTCCGTCACTAAAGTCTGTCCAGCCAACAAAAAAAGCTATCCAAACAACGCTCGTTGCATGATCGATGCATCGATCACACCTATTGGCTAAAATAAACATGCTGGGCCAATCGTATTTAACTGTAATAGGTCGGCGGAATTCGTTGATGCTGGCACATCGCTACAGACTTACAGAGTCGGCATGGTCAGTGGTCAGTTTCGTTTGAACATTTCTGCGGTAACCATCTCTGATGTTTTGACAGATACTTAGAATACATATGTGGTGTTTTAAAGCTTAAAAAGGGAGAAATAGCTTATTGCTCGAGGAACCAGAAATAGTATTGTGGAGACGTGAGTATTTAATGAAAATATGGACTTATATAAGAGAGAATAGAAAAATTTATTATCTAGATGAAACGTGGGAAACGTAGGCCACACTAAGTCCAAAATTTGGACTGATGAATTCACAAATTCCTCGAAAAAAGCATTTTTAGATAGCCTCCTAACTGGGTTAAAGAAACTTTCAGGTAGGAATCAACTTATTTTGTAAATGAAAGTTACTGTTTGGTTTACATATTCAAAATATATTAAAATTTGTTTTATTTAAATGAAAAAATATAGCTTGTGTCAAATTTGCACCCTGTTATTGTGTTTCCGAAATTTTATTAATTTTATATGCTTTTTTAAGTAACCGTATTTTTTTTATTAAATACATGAAAAAGCAATAATCTCATAATGGCTGGAAACATTTAAAATTTTGACACCAAATGATTCCATTAAAAACAGACTTTACTAACATTTGTGTTCTCCTTATTCCGAAACTTGCTTAGGTTGTTATTTTTCAGTAGCTGCCATTTCAAAACTTATTCTTATTCTTTATTCTTTTATTGGGCTATGTTCTGCAGAACAATTTACCCAATTTCAAAACCTCATTTTTGGAAGATTGTCGCCAAAAATAAAATAAGCAGTAAATTCTTCTATTTCGACTAAAACAAAAAAAAATACAAAAAATATTGATAATATGTTACATATGAAGCGAAACCGGTTTTGTCCTTGATGCCTTCTAGGCCTTTGAGTCGAAGAAGAGGGGAGACTATCATGAGGAGATGGACAACAAAATCATTTGAGAATTGGTTTAGTAACATAATTCCCTACCTACAAGAGAATTGCGTAATTAGGTAACGCCTCATAAAATTTTAGCAAAGCTGAAAAAATTCCTACTATAGCCAGAAGAAAATCTCTAATTCAAGAATGGTTGCGTTTGAAAACTATACCATTCGAGGATAACATGGTAAAAGCAGAACTTTTGAGGATAGTGAATGAATATAAAACCAAATATAAAAAACACATTGTCGACGAAATTCCTAAAGCACATAATATAATATTTATAATTTAACATTTTCAAAAATATAATAATATCCCGGTATTCCCTTAGTGCGACTCTGTACAATCAGCTTTGTTTGACAGATCACGTGCACTATGCATAATAATGTTTTAGAGCACTCCATTGCTTGGATAGACGGAGTTTAAGACCTATTTTATTAAAATTTACAGTTTCTTTGTAACTATTAACGAATATCCCGTGGATTGCCACTATTTATCAATTATTAGCACTGATCTCTACTATTCACTAAATATATATGAATATATTTAGTCTGAATGACCTAAAATAATTTATTAAATTTGTAGATTTTCGTTAGTAGGTCGTAGAAAAAATATACTGTACAACTCGGGTGGATTATCCATATCCATTCTTGTTGCATAAATTACTATTAACTTAACATCCTTTATCTCAGAAGTAGATAATAAACGACCCAGTGTTAAGGGGGCCCTGCCCCTAAGGTTAAAATATTTTCCATTCCTAATGAAACACCCTATTTACTACAAAAACGACAAATTATCATATATATGTATATACAGGGTATTAGTATATTCGACCGGCAAAGCTCTACCATAGAGAGATCTTGTTAATTAATGAATTTTAATATAGGAACTTGAACCCTTAAAGAGCTTAGTTACCGGGATACAGGGGCTAAAAGTTTTAAATCAAAATTTTAAATTTGCCATAAATCAAACACATCTTTAAAATTTTTCTTCAAATTTGTTCTACCAACATCTTGTCGATTACACGAACTATTAAAAATTTTACACGTACTTACTCGATTAGAATTTAAAAATATTGAGACTTTTTACAAGCAAACCTCTTTTAACTAGGAAGTAGTTCTCCTGTGTAGCTAGTTGCCCTTGGTTTTTCTTCTCCAAGTATAAGGAATATTAGTCTTGACAGACCTTCGCAGTGGCACAAGACATGTTCTGCAGTTTCCTTTTCTTCCTGATAGAATCGGCACAAGGTCTCTTCTAGCAGACCGATATTATACACGTGTTTGTTAAGCCTACTAGGACTCTAGGATTTTGCCGTTCATGGCTTAGTAAATGCTTGGTAAGTTTAGCACTCTTTGGCCTGTGCTTGTCCTGGTGAATTTTTTTACGATTCCTGAAAGTTTTTAAATATCCACTGCTTTGTTTAGAAGGATTCAGGGCCACTAAAAGCCTTTGAGGCTCCTTCTTGGGCTAGTAAATCACCCTCTTCGTGGCCATTATGTCCTCTGTGATCTGGTATCCGGCTAAGGTTAGTCTGATTTGACTACCTAGCACTGTTAGGGCTTCCAAACAGTCCCATATAAGCTTTGAGTGTACCTGCATAGAAGTGAGTGATTTTAACGCCGCTTGACTGAGTATATAACAATAGTTTTTTCATTTATTTTAATTTAATACTGCTTTTGCGCAGTGATGTATTGCTGCTATTACTTGCGGAATACTCTCGCATGTTTTCCTAAGATCAGTGATCTTTGGTTTGGTACTATATATACTCGTACCTACACCTGCACCTTCATGGGTTTTGGAACCGTCTGTGCTTTGGGAGCATTTCGTCTGAAGGCATTTTTTATATAGCTCGCTGTAGTCACATGCAAACTGCTTCGTCTTAAATAAATATATGTATTGGTCTAAGGTTTAGTATGACTTCTAGAGCTGCTGTGGTACTCCCGTGGTACTCCTGTGGTACAGCTTGCCGAGTATTTGGCCACCATACGACCGACCCATAGGTACATAACCATAGGGACATTTACGGGTGTAGTCCCAAATTTTTTCAACATAACCTTCGACATAAGTTATAGGATGTTGTGCTCTTTTGGGTGACTTTTTGCAAGTGTTGATTCCATGTTAACCTATGATCAAAGATAACTCTAAAGTATTTGAGCTCTTGAGAAAATGGAATATTCACTTCTTTCAGTACTGGTGACTTTAGCACTGTCAGTACTTTTTGTTCTGTGAAGTTGACTATTATAGTTTTGTTAGGGTTTACTGTTAGTTCCTTCTCTCTGCACCACACTGGTACTCTTTTCGTTGCTAGTGCGTAAATTATAGATCTTGTATGGGCATTATTAAAAGCTCCCTTAATATCTACGAAAGTTGCTACTGCCATTTCTTTACCCTCCTGGAATTTTGACAATAGCCTATTGAGATTATTCAGGAGTATATCAGTTTTCATTTGCGCAAAAAATAAGAGAAAAATATGCTACTAGCCTTGATAGCGCGCCACTATTCAAGTTTTCATCAAAATATTGGCTTCCCGAAGGGCATATTGTTCACCAAATTTGAATAAAATATTAAAAGACATTTTTTATGGCAAATTTTGAATTTTCATTTCAAACTTTCATCACCCTGTATCTCGGTAACCAAGCCCCTTAAAGATGCATGTTCTTATATCAAAATGCATCAATTAACGAGAGCTCTCTGGGGGCAGAGAGTTGTCGGTTGAATATACCCTGTATGTATTCACAAAAAAAAATAACTCATGTTATTCACTCAGCGCGAAGTAGTGATTCACACGAGACCAATGAGACGAGACTTTCATAAAGTCTCGTACGAGAGTCTCGCAAATGTATCGCAATTTCGTCATGCATAATCTTATTCGAATCTAGTACGGGATATTTACCTTTACCTACTTTTTAGGTATAATGTAGAAGTAGGAAGAGAAAATTACAACAAAAATAACATTATTTATTGAAAAGTAAGTACCTAATAGGTACATACTTAGTCATACATCTAAACAAGAAAAAAAAACATAGCATTATATATTCGAAAGTTATAAAAATAAAATAAAAAGTAACACGTATATTCTAAACAAATAAACAAAACAAAAACTTTAATCCAACATTATTTTACTTATTTAAGAAAGAAAGACTTCTTTATAGATTTTCAGGTAGTCATTCAATTTGCGATCTGTCGTTATTGCAGTATTGCCTTTATGTTTACAACAATCATGGATTGTGTTTTTAAAGTATTTATAAATGAAATGTTTTTTCTATCTGTGCTAAATAGTCTAAATTCTTTCTAAATATGTTGTATTATGAATGAAATTCTCAAGTCTGCAGTCGGCACGCAAAAATATTTACCTGCGAGACTCCCGCACGAGTCGTCTTGCACGAGACTCGAGACGAGACCAATAAATATCTCGTCTCGTCTCGAGTCTTGTCTCGAAAACGAGACGAGACCATGCGAGACTCTCGAAAACGAGACTCTCGCAGGCACCACTAGCGCGAAGTCATGGAAGGGGAAGCAAAAGCGATACTAGCGCTAGCTGCGGATAATTCGTGCATTTTAGGGCGATATTTTGTAATTTTGGCATATCAACTACACGTATACATTTTACTTTTTTTTTTTAAATGGGTAAAAACAATACAATAAGTTGCTGTGTTGTAAATTGTAAAAATACTAGCAAAAAAACAGTGTAAATTATAAAAAATTTCAGTAACAAAGTGTAAATTAAATCAAATACATAAATGGATAGCTGTACAATAAGAAGAAAAATTACCTTTATTTTCGTAATAATGACAGCAATACTGGA